AATTAATTTTGAATAATGATATGATGGGAAATGTGTGGTTGAAAAAGAAGAAAAAATTATTGATGTGATGGAAAATATTATTTTATTGAAGAATGTGTGGTTGAAAATGAGAATTGATTTACTATAGAAAAATCTAAATCCCTCCCAAACATGGCCTTATATTGAAGGTTCGATTTACAAGACTTCTGCTTTTATTTTTGTTTCTTGAAGTTATTTTAGATCAATTTTTATAAAAAAATATTTTAGTCCTATAAAATAGTTTAGATATGTTAAAAATAGCTTTTAATTTTTAAGTCTCTTTCTGGACTCTATTATTTCAATTTATAATGAGAGAAATAATATTTTTTTTTGTAGATTGTGTGATTAAAAAGGAATTTTTTTAGGTTTACGTGTAATATTGTTTTATTAAAAAATGTGTGAATGATTAAAAAGAGTAATTTTATTCATTTCCAATGAGATTGTAACCCCAATTTAGGTGGCGTTAATGTGATATTAAATGATGAGTGAAATTAAATAAGTCATTTAATTTCACCTTTCATTGAGCCTATCATTTAAAGGCATATAGATTGGGGTTACAACCTCACTGAAGATGAATAGCATTACTCGGCCAGATATGAACTAAAACATTTTTTAACTTTTTAAAATCTTTACAAAGAATAATATTATTTATTATTATAATGATAAAATATCGTTGATATGATAGTCTATAAATAATGAGATTATAAAGGTCAAGTTTTATGAGAGAAAGTCATCAAATAAAGAAAAAGAATTTAAGGGATAATAAATTGTCACATAGTACATATTGTATCATCGTGATGCTAAACAACGTTACGATGAACTGGTGTCACGTGACACGACAGAGAGGAACAAATGCCGGCACATTACATACCCCACACGCCCCCCCCCGGCCCCCACACACCACACGTTCTATATAACGAAATCATCGCCCCTCCATTGCTTTTAAAAAACAAAAGGAAGAAGAGGCAAAAGAAAAAAAGAAAAAAGTTAATTCTATATTCTCCCCCTCTGCACCTCTAATATTCCACATTTCTCTATCTAGCTTGCAAACGTAAGAATTATGGACATTCGCCGGAGGCCTCCCTTACCCTCTTCTCACTACAATCAAAAGAATAAGCATGGTACTCCTCCGCCTTCCGCCGCCGACGTGGCCGTCGATCAGTGCTCTCCCAAAGCCTCCGACGCTCTCCCCCTTCCACTTTACCTGACTAACGGCATTTTCTTCACGCTTT